ACTTTGGTTTTTTTCAAAAAGTAGGTTAAATTTTTTTTTTTTTTTTGTCTTCTACACTGATATTTTGAATGGGGTGCTGGTATTTTCTTTGTCTAAGTCTCAATCTGCAGTCACACTAAACAAGTTCTTGGCATTTTTCTTTTTACCTTGTAATACATTAGTAAAACATTTTAAGCAGAGAAATTTGTTTGCAGGTGAGCTCTTACTGTGCTATGGCTCACTGCTCTCTACTGGAGTGCTGACTCGGTTATTTTGTGTAGATGGTAACACTTCTTTGTGCTTTAGTCTTCTGAAGAGCAGGAATTCTTACAGATTTTATAGAGGACACTGGAATTGCAGTTTCTTCAGTTATTGCAATTTTGTACGATACTGGAACTTGGTTGACATTAGCATTCTTTCAAAGGTGCTGGGAGGTCCCTCTAATGTTTATGAAGTGGCATTTACCTGTCCAGAACTCCAGCTCTTTTTCCTCCTCATTGTTTTCTGAAGAGGAATCAGTGGACACTTCGGCAAATAAAGCCAAAGTTAAAATTACTGTAGGTTTGGGGTTCTTAGGCCATGGGTGAATCTATTGAACACTAATATGATTGGGTGTATATATTAGCATATTTATGTTGTCTTACTGTCTTAAGAAGGGCACATGATGCAAGAGTAATTTTATTAGCCAATCTGATGTTGCCTATTAACTCTGGCTTTTCTCTCTTTCTCTCCATTTCTCACCTTTCATTTCATTGTACTACCCTGCATTTCCCCTTTTTTGTTTTTGTGTACATTAAAATGCCACCTTCTCCCTTTTTAATTATAATACACTACTTTTTACCCATCAATTCCCTAGACACTTCCGAGGTTGATTTGTTTGTTATTAATGCTCCATACACTCCAGTGCCAGATCCGTCTCCCATGATGCCACCGGTGGGAGTTCAGGCTTCCATTCTGAGTCATGACACCATACGGATCACTTGGGCAGACAACTCTCTGCCGAAGAACCAGAAGATCACAGATGCTCGCTACTACACAGTTCGCTGGAAAACCAATATTCCTGCAAATACGAAGTACAAGGTATTGGAGTTTTGACAACACTAACAGCTGCGTTATTTCAGTGAGAAGTTGTTTCGTGTTCAAGTCAGGGTTAAGTGAAAGCGGAGAGTAGAGACAAGCACTTAGGAAACGGCACAGAGGTGTGCCTGGTTCCGTTTAGGTGCCTGGACTGAGTTCAGATCAGTACTGCTCAGTTAAATCCGCACTTCAGAGATTCTTCTGATGTAGTGGAAGTAGTCGGTTCTGTGGTCTCTTCTGCCTGTGTGTGGGAAGGAGATGGGAGACGGGCTGTGATGTGTGAGTGGACAGAAGAGCTGGCTCAGGGAAGGAAGGCAGAAACTGCCAGAGTTACGTCCTGGTGGGGGACCATGGCTGTGGTGACGGTTTTGTCCTTTCTACTTCACCCTAACGAGAGCACTTGGTATGGCAGATGTGGGCTTACCTTTAGAGGAGCCAGTAATGCATTAATAAGGTATGTGTTACTAATGGCTGCTCTCCAGTGAGCAGAAGAATCTGAATTTGTGGGGTGAGTCATGCAGGAAAAATATTTACCCTGGCGGTTTTAAGTTTCCTTTTACAACCTCTTCTGTTCATATGAAGTTGATAGTGAACCTTTCCTTTGGGAACTGAATAGGTCCAAAATATATAACAATATGATATCCCTGCCTTCTTTGATTTTCATCTCCTGCTTTGATTTGGAGACTAGATTTGCGGTTTGGTTTATTGGTTTGGATTTTTTTTAGTTGGGTGGTTGGATATTTTTTAATTTTCAGAGTTACCTGGAGGCCTCAGAAATGCTGACTGCAAATGTCACATCGAAGTGAGACTCAAAGGAAATGGTTGTTAAAATATCCAGCTAGTGGAGCTCCCTTCATGCTTTTACAGAGCAATCTTGTTACAAACCAGATTTTTTTTTTTAATTGAAAGACGTATATGTTCTTCCTGTAAAGGCAAGTTATTTATGAACCCACATTCCTGAGTCGTGCAGAGGATGTCTTGGGAGTGATTTATATAATGCTGCAGTTTCATTCGTTAAATGCTTACAGAAACCCACCCTCAGCGGTAAATGCAATACTGTCACCGTTCTCGGTGCTGGTGACTTGTGGTCAAGCAGTTTTATTGTGGACCAAAAATAATATATAATGATGGAATATAGTTCCAAATTAGTCACTGTAAAAAGCATTTGGCTGAAAGGACATAAGTTTGAGAACATTTGCTCCAATCATTTGCAGCCCACGATGTTTGGAGAACTGACATCCTGCTTTTCTTTCTTTCTTTCAATCATAAATTCTGTACTACTCTGTTGGACAAGTACAATTGCTGATTTTAGGGAAGTCAAAACCTCTTTTCAGGGGTGCTGCTGAATAAGCTGCTGCATTTCAGTCAGGTCTTTGGGAACTTTATGAAGTAGGAGCCAGTATATTGTTTGTCATGGCCATCTCTAGCAGCTTTGTTACTTATTGCATGTTTTGAGGCTGTTCGCCCCGTTGCATCGGAGCTTCTCCGTTACGCAGCCTTGCACACAGAAATCTTATCTTGGTGTCAGTTCTCTAGTATCCAAAGCTACATCTGTTCAACACAGTGTTGTTTCATCCATCCCTCTCGTCCGTAAATCGGATGTTGATCTAGTTCATTCATACTTTCTACATTTGCTCCCCGCTTCTATGCTGACATTCACAAACTGCTATTAAAGAAGAGGCTGCGTGCTTCAAATACAAGTTAAGAGGTTCCACCTTAAGGAGCTGTATTTTCTTAGATTTGTATAGGAGTTGTCTCAGTCTGGAGCTTATAAACACAGGAACAGATGTGATACAGTTCCTGAAGCTAAAACACGCCACTGTGCTTTGAACCGTGTAGTTTCACTAATGTGGATCAGAGAGCATTTCTCAAAGAATCTTTGTTGGTGGAGCAGAGTTGTCCTCCTCGCAGGCTACCTGTGATTTATCAGTGTGCTCTCAAGCGTAAGCTAAAATATTAAATCTTAACTTAGATCTTTTAGGACTGTATAAAAGGAAAATAAATTTTACAGGGTAGTATTTATGAAGTTTATTTCTAGTAGGTGAGCAGGGTTTAATACCATGGGATATGTTGTGATCTTAAAAACAGTAAATGGTGTTAAAAATGAAGAAACCAGAGTAGTCTAACACTCCAGTTTAGCCTTTCATGTGTCATTTACATTCAGTGTGATGCGCAGTGAAACTAAAAGATACCGAGTTTCAAAGGCATAGATGAAAAATACAACTTCAGGACTCCAGCTGCCACATGTGACTGAAGCCAGGAGCAAAAAAGTACTACAAACAGAATCAAATGCTTAAATAACGTTAGGAATTTCCACAGGTATTCTGGAGAGGAAGAAATGGTGTGCTTTGCGGGGGAAAAGTCAGCTCATACTGCAAGATGCTAGGAGAGTCTTCTCATGAGGTGATGGTCCCAGCCAAGGGTCTTTGCAGCTTCTGCTGAAGCATCAGCTTTTTCCCAGTGTCCCTGAGCTGCACTGCGAAGAGCCAGGAGAGAATGTTGCTTGGCTCTTCAGGAGCCGATGAAAAGCTCTTCTGAACACAGGGCTTCGTGTCCGTACTAGGGAGGTTGTGTTCAGTCAGGCTTTGTCACTGAACTAGTGTAAGAACTGTCCTGCCCTACACTTAGCTATTTGAACCATTTGGCCACAGTCACATTTACTTTGAAACTACACTCAGTTTTGTGTCACGTAAAGGTTTAAAGTAAATTGAGAATTTTATTTTTATTAGTTTTATATCTTTGTTGTCTGGCCACCCTTACGATGTCTGCCTGGCAAAACGCATGTCTGTGAACAAGCAAAATACATGGGCTAACAGTTTGCTGAACTGTCACCTGGTGTCACAAAAATGCTGGCATGGATACTTGAGAAGAGTTGCCTTTGTAGAGTTTGGGCTGTGTTATTCAGAGAGTCTTCAGGGAATGCGCATTTATGGATGGCCTTTTGCTTGAAAAGGATTAGCTGCAAACTGTTGCGGTCTGAAGGCAGTAGCTGTTAGTGTAGTGGTTGTATGGCCCTGTCAGTTTTGAAACAACTAACTCATTAATTCTATGCTTAGATCACTGTAGGTCAAAGTAAGGAATATACATACATGTAGATTTCCCCTCCCCCCCATAGGCCTCAAGTACTTTGTGTTTACGTTCAAATCACATACAGCAAATACCAGATATTTTAACCTGAAAGTCAAAAATTCTACCTAAATGGCTGAGTTATAAATCACACTCTAAACCATGTGTAGTTTCAGTGTGTGATCCTAGAGAACCATTTTTTCCTAAAAAAAAATCTACCTGTTAATAAAGCTTAATTATCTTTAAGTCTCTCAGCACCTGTACTTTCAGTTGATTTTTTTTTTTAAAGTATGTTAAATATTTACTGAAAAATCTAACAGGAATTTGGCACACAGATACAGATTTCAAGGACTGTTATAGTTAGCTCTGCTTCATTGTTTTCCCTAGCCAGATCAGTTAATGAAATGCTGTAAATTAAACCCCCCAAGTAGACAGTAATTTAGCCTGCTGCATAACAAGTGTGCCCTGGACCTTGTGTTTCCCCCCCCCCCTTTTTTTTAAATTTATAATTGACTGCTATTAAATGCTCTTGCTGATTGCAGAAAGAATTTCTAGTTTAGGATAACACAATTGCACATTAATACTTGATTAATGAATTTGCATGACAGAGCAAAAACATTACAGAATTAATGACTGTGGTTATGAAAATGCAGCAATGCTAAAATGTTTTAAACAATTGCCTTTCGAGCTGGTGATGGGTGGTTTTCAGTTCAGAAGTTACTGACACTTTGTTTTTCTTTCAGACTGCAAATGCGACCACTTTGAGCTATTTAGTGACCGGGTTAAAACCAAATACCTTGTATGAGTTCTCTGTGATGGTGACTAAAGGTCGAAGATCGAGTACGTGGAGTATGACAGCACACGGAACAACTTTTGAATTAGGTACTGCTGCGCGTCTTTCTGGAAGGGTCAGCATTCCTGATGAGATGAATGAAGTCGCGTCTGCCAGAATTCTGGAGGAGGGAAAGCATGTATTTAAAATTACTATGCTGATGAGTACTTGCTGGGGGCTTCTTTTCTTTATAGTTTAGTCAGAAATTCTGATTAAAAAACAACAACACACTTCAGAATTCAAAGGGATGATTGCATGCAAAAGAATTTACATCAAATTACAGAGAAGTAATGAATAATGTACCACAGTGCACGGACAGGGGAGAATAAAGAAGCGTACGCTTGAAACATCTCAGAAATAGCATGTTAATAGCAAATACAAAAAAAAACTTTAGCAAATAATAATTAAAATTTGCTATAATTATGATGATAATTATTGCGGAGTGACAAAGTGCATGAGGCAAATGAACAACCAAAAAATCCCAGCAGAAATTAAGCGTCCATCTCAGAGCTACATTCTGGTTCTCAGCAGGCATTGCCCCTGCAGTTCTTGGGGCTGTGGAACCGACGCGCTCTCCAAGTACAGGGCGGAAAAGGGTTTGAAGCTGCCGGGAGGAGCTTGAGCCCATGGAGTCACTGTGAGGTCCAGGACCCGTCCCTCATTAGCTCTTCTTATCCTGCACTGTTAAATGATGTTTGTGCAATTAAATTTACTGCTTATTATGCTTATTTTTCTGATTATTTGAACTGTAAGGACAAAAACGGGCCTATCCAAATTACCCTGTGCTTCTCATGCTAAATGAAAATACAGCAAAAAAAAATCAAGCATGCAAAGAACTGGTGAAATCATCCAAATACTTGAAAACAAGAAATAAGAAAAAGCAAAACCAAGGTAAAATCAGAAAGCTCATAACTTGCTCTGAGGTCTTATGAACCCTTAGCGAGCTTCAGTTGCTTTAGATTTTGGTGGGAATCCCACAATGTGGAGCCAGGTGCCCTTCTGGACAGCACAGCTCCTGATTACTACGCCCATCCCATGTTAAAACACATTATTTGGTATTTTTGCTGACAGATGTACAGTTCTCGTCCGTAACTGTACACTAAGATAAGAGATTGCAAAAGTTGCACAAATAAAGTTCTTAGAATATGAAACTCAAAAAGTAGAGGAGGAGTAAGGGTGAGATGCAGGAGGTCTCATTTCTACTCATTTAAATAGAAAGTAAATTTCTAGTCGGGGTGGTTGTAAAGAATATTTGTAAACATGACCTAAAAGCTTGGGAACTAACAAGCAAATGAAAAAAAAAAGGGCTAAATATATTTTCTCATAACAGATCTTGTGATTTATATTACTCGCCAAATTCCTGAGTGTGTGACTCAGTATTTTTGAATACTCCTGAGTAGCAGTGTTGTGCAGTACTTGCTCCTCAGCTAATGCTGAAGAAAAATACGGGATACCGGGTTCAGTGTTGGTCTGTGAATTAGTAATCTCTTGAGGGCTAGTCCTGATTTTTTTTTTTCTCTGAAGCTCACTGTAGGGCCTTGAATCATGCTTTGTGTCTGTACATTTCTGTCGAGCGTGTTTGTAAGTATTTGGGATAATAGTTACAGTAACTTTTTTGGCTTTTGCTGTGCCTGGTCTCCAACTCTTAGTCTGCACTGGGATAGTAAGTAGCCATCTCAGAGGATGGACAGATTAATTGCTAATAGGCAATATTCATAAAGCTCTTTAAATGCAGAAAGCACCATGTAAGCACTAAATGTTACTATTATAGTATTAGATATCCAGGGCGGATTTACTTTGCTAAAAGTTACCTATAAAGTCTCATGTTTTTCATAATGTGGCATTGCAAACTGTGGCTGTTTAATGCACCTTTGGAGACGCCGGCTGGGTACGTTTGAAAGCCATTAATCTAAGCCCCAGCTGGAGATTTGAGTTCACAGCAAGAAGGGTCTCGGGTTTCAGTCTTTAGCTGGAGCAGTTTGTGCCATTTCCTGCATTGAGGTGGGAGGAGGCTGCTGGGAGAAGGACGTGCTCTCTCCTGCTTTCTTGCTCTCGATCTTGTTCTCTGGCAAAAGAGAAAGGAAAAAGATTGGGTGACTGTGTACAGCAAATATTTCTGGATTTCACGTGCTTCTGTGGCACAGATTTCCTTGCAAATCACGAATAATTCTTCACTACAGTAAATCAGCAATTATGGATTATGATTCTAAATCTCTCGTGAATTTACTTTGCTGATTCAGATTTAAGTGGCAAATTGGCATTACTATGTCTTGGTCCCACCATAAACCTGAAAATACGGTGATATTTCGTATGCCTGCACATGTAAAATGTATTTATTTCACAAGTGTGTGCAATTTCTGTGATGACCGAAGAAATTCAGGTGAGAAGTCGTTGACCCCAACTGTTAGAGTTGTGCAAAGCTGCCGTGTTTTTGAAGACACGTGGGCTCATTCAGTCACGAATCACAGCATCTGCTGACAGAAACACTGTAGAAACAGGTAACTCCTTACGGAGAGGAGAAGCTGCACGCCAGATGGCATTTGCCAGTTGAATGGAGTAAATTGGTAAGACCACTACGCTAGGTGGGAGATTTATTTGAAGATTGAACATTCAGAGTTTTTATTATTGTACGTGCCTTTTACCTGTGGTAAAACAAATAAAAAGCGAAGGTGCCGAGGTTCCTTATTTATATGCGGTGAAATTGGGCAACCTGTTTCTGATAGCCTGGTTTGTGTTTGTTTGCAGTTCCTACCTCGCCTCCCAAAGACGTGACTGTGGTGAGCAAAGAGGGAAAGCCTCGGACAATAATTGTTAACTGGCAGCCTCCATCGGAAGCCAATGGCAAAATTACAGGTGCAGTTTGCGTGAGCAATAAAGGCAGATATAACATGCTTGGTTAACAGCAGAAAATAATCTGCACGATTGTGTGAGCGTATTCCGTGCTTGATTTAGCCTGGAGCTAGCCAAGAGGTCTATATCTTCTTTGTCAATCTTTTTAGTAGCTCAGATTAATTATTTACTTTTGTACCTAGTAAAAGTATAATAAGATATAAACTAACTGCGGTGTGAAATTGGAGTCTAACCAGAAATATAATTGAAAGTTTAAATATCTCAGTAACCTTTGCCTTCATCAGCTGGTGCTATTCTAATAGCATGCCTCCAGAAATACATCTGTAATGCGTCTGACCCATCAGTATTTTATATAGAAGACTCGGTCCCAGTGCTCTTTGTCATCTTTGTGTCATTTTTGTGGCACAGAACAGATTTAAAGTCAGTTTATTAGACCTCTGACATAACCATTATGAGTAAACTGTTATGTGCCTTTGTAACTGCATCGCTTTCATGTAGGATAAATCATTTTACAGAAAATAATAATTACCATTTCCTTCCTGTAATTTCTGTTTGGATTCACATTTCTAAAGGCTTTTTGAAATCATTCACTTCAATTTTCCTTTTTTACCCCAGGCTTTAAGCTTAAAGCAGATTTTTTTGGCGTAGTTTGCAGTGCATGATGTTGCTTGTGTTCTCAGAATTAACTACGGTGCAGAATCACACCTTGGAAGCCTGTCACCAGCTGGCACCTGATCAGGCAGTACTGCAGCCCGGGTTCTAGAGAGGAGCCTCTGAAAAGGCAGGATGCTGGAGACTCTTAACCTTTAGCAATTACAACAATTTTTGAAGTAAGCTGTAAGACAGACCCCTAAAAGGCATGGCGGCACTGTGTATGCAGCGCGGAGGCTGCCGTGCGACAGCCTGGCTCTGGCAGGTACGCTCGCTGTCTGGCGAGGCTGCTGCCAGCCAGCCCAGGGCTGGCGGGGCTCTGCAGCACACCGCTCCGTGTACTGTCCTGTGCCCAGCGCATCTCGCAGCCGGCGCTGCAGGGATGCAGCTCTGACAGGCGGCAGCTTACTCCGCGCTGCGACGGCTGTCTGAGCCATTTGTATGTCTCTGCACACACACAGCTGTTTGTATGTTGTGTGTATATGGTTTTATACGGGCTATAAAGCCAGTTCTGTGTTCGTGTCAACAAGATGTTTCCTCTCTATGGGAAAGAGGGTTTGACGGGAGAAACGAGCCTTTATCTTAACTGCAGGTTAAAGGACTCGGTTGCCAGCAGTCAGTGAGTGTCATTCAGATGGGTGAAATGTCAGGCACAAATATCCCCGGGTTCTATGTGCTGCTGAAAAGATAAGCCTATCATCTTACATCAGGTGCACACATGAGAAAGGGAAGACAGTGCACAAAGAGATCAGCATTTCCTCGGACAATGTGGTTAGAAACATTACCATACACATTCAGATTTCCAGGTAAAAACATCTCCTTGCAATGTCTGTACTGTGAAGGAGAACCCTACATGTATTCCTACGCGTTGAGTGAAAACATATCGTATTTAGTAGTTTTTGCAAAAGCAGCAGTTAAAAGCTAAAAAATAAATCATGCTGTGGTAGCGCAGCGTCCACCGAACATGTTTCGTTTCCGAGGCGAGCAGGGCAGGAGCTTTCGGGGACGTGTGGGCTGAGTGCCCTCTCGCGGGGAGAGCCGCTGCCGGCAGGAGAGGCTGCTTACTGCTCCAGTAATGACTCCTTAACTTGGCCCAGTTCATTCTGTGCATCAGGTAATGCCGTAAAAATTGAGGGATGGTGTAGTTCCACGCGCTGGAGAGCAAGTCTGCGGAACACCTGTCCTTTCAGCTCTGATCTCCTTTCGACTGGGATAGGATGGATGGGAAATACTGATCTGTGCTAATCTGGATTCCAGAGGCTTGTGCATCGTTAGAGTTGCTGACTAATTAGTGCAGTCATAACTCAGTAGTTTTGTGCCACTGTGCTATATATAGTGCTTTTAACTGTCACTATGTGTATGTATATGTTGTCCCTTCTTAAACAAGTTACAGATACGTTGCTATGTGACCTGTACAAGTAGCAAATCATTAAATCTACCCCTCGGTAGTTAATTGTGCCACCAAGGGAAGAAGTTAAGCATGCCAGACCCGCAGCGGGTGTTTGAAGCGTCACCTTCCATGCCGTACTGGTTACTGTGAATTACATGAATTTGGGGTATCAGCAATATTTTCAGTGGCTTTGAAGAAGTGGACGCCACTCTGGAGAACATCTCCCCTCCCTTATTGTAGCCCCCAGGCTGGTGGTCTGTGGGACAAGGGAAGCAGCAAGTTGTGCACAAAGCAGCTGATGACCCTACCCTATATTTGTGCAAGTATTTATTTTATGCTGGGGCTCTGAGTTTCTTATATAAAAAAGTTATAAAGCTTTTACTTCAGATTGGTTTGTAATTGCTGTTATTTTAATAACAGAACATAAACTCTTCCCATACTTTTCTTCTGTGACATGCGAGATAGCCTCACTTCTCTTCAGATTATTGTCGTCTTTGTTAATAAACTGAAAAATAATAAAATCATTATAAACTATTAAACACATGTTCTTTAGCTGTTCATGAGAATGTTTTGTTGTTTTAAGGTTATTTTCTGTAAGTATTCTTGGAGGATGTTTTGATAATAACAGTTTTATGTTATTTTATGTTATTCAGTTTATGAGCAGGTAAAGAGACCGAAATGAGGAATTTCTCCATATTCAGTGAACAGTCATCAGAAATAACTTTGATATTTTAAATCACTTTTTTTCACTAAACATGTACTTTTAACAGTTTAAAATTTAAGGTAGGAAGGCTGTCTAATATTTGAATGCATTCTTAGTCTTTGAAAAAGTAAGAATACACTTTCAGAAAACCCATAATCATTGAGCTGTGCAAACACCGTTAAAAGTCAATAGAACATTTTCTGTGAGTTCTTACGACTATCCTGTTCTTTTATGTATAAAGTTCTTTTGCTTTTTCCTTTGGCTAGGATACATCATTTACTACAGTACGGATGTGAATGCTGAAATACATGACTGGGTTATTGAACCGGTCGTGGGCAACAGACTGACCCATCAGATACAGGAACTGACCCTGGACACTCCGTATTATTTCAAAATTCAGGCCCGCAACTCGAAGGGCATGGGGCCTATGTCTGAGGCAGTGCAGTTCAGAACCCCAAAAGGTAAACTGTCACTGTCACGTATATCTAAATATATTCCTCCTCGTGTTCTGAGTGCAGTCTCTATAGGGATAAGATACCAGTAGCATGAATTTTATATTTAAACTGGAAAAGACAGGAAGACAATGGAGTTTGGGTAGAATGAAATTTTCTATTGGGTTGCTCTGGCGTGTAGTTAATACATGTGCAAATGTTGCTCAGCTGTTTGATTACTTGTTGTTTCAAAATTACTGGTGGGCACTTAGGTCATTAGTTATTAATGTTGGTCCATGCCCTAAATGTGCTTTTTAGAAAACCAGTTTTTAATTGCTTTAAGATTCTAGGTCTTGTGTGTCATGTCTGCGCATGATGAAATGGTCTAAAGCAGCAGCCTCGGGAGTTGGTAGCCAGTGCACAACTGCTCGCTGGTGACGAGGATGATATCAAGGGCACTGGTGTGACCCAGCAGGCTCTTAAATCAAGAACTGCTTGGTGATGGGTAACTAGTGAAATAGTACGAACGCATGATAGCTTGAAAAAAAAAGTACTCTGAGGAGAGGTGAAAAATGAAAAGTAGATTTTTGTAACAGTGCTTTTTGCATATGAGTATTGGTGATTAGAAATGAGACCTCTAGCTAGTCTGCTTATGCTATGTGAAACTTTAAATTCTGCCTCTCGCTCCTTCAAGCCTTGTGATCTTTCTCTTGTTTTTTCCTTCCCTGTTCTTGTCCCACTAGCTGAATCCTCAGATAAAATGCCTAATGATCAAGGTAAATGCATAGCCATGCTTTCTCTTTTATTCCATCCTTCACACATTTTGTTTTTCCTGTCCATGTGCTGTTGCATTTCCTAAATGAATCAAGTATCTGCTGCTCTAACTGTAAATGAGCAAGTTCCCGCTGTGCTTTTAATAGTGGAAGAGCTGGAAGTCCTATTTGTGGGTTAGGTGCTAGGAATATAAAGTGATCTCTGTAGTCAGATGTCACATGAAGGGACAAGCGGGTTGTGCCAGAGCTGAATCATTCTGTCAAAATGAATTAGGATTAAGTGATGCTCCAGCCAGCCTGACCACTGAAGCAAGATCTCAGTACATAGAGGTGGAAGATCAAACACTTACCTAATTAGCACAAGTGCTATTTTCTGAGCTCTACATCTATAATTATTTTCATAATAAAGGAAAGTATGCCTGTTCTGGAAAGCTTTTTTGCAACAGAGATTCTGCTTGTCAGCCCATTTAGACTTCAGACTCTCCTGAAGACCACAGGATTAGCTACTAAAAGCCTTAAGGTTTTAAAATGGTAGATTGAAGAAATGGTAGCTTTGAGTTTACTGCATTGAATTACAAGGTGGATGTCCCAGGGCTATTTTTGCTTTCTTCCAAACAAGCTACAAGCCCAATAAAAAGGGGAAGAATTAGTCTAAAGGGATGAGTTTAAAAGGACGTTGGCAAGCAGCTTAGACATACGATTAAATAGATCCTAAAGGGGTTAAGAATGAGCTGCCTTTTTTTTTTCACTTGCTTTTCAACCTGTTACTTAGAAGTAATTTATTAAACAAGCTTTTACCTTCTGTGTACCAAATAGTGCTGATACTAGACAGTTATGGAGTAAATTCGTATCCAGACTTGTGTAACAGCAATGCTAGGGGAGATTCAGGCTTGTCTGGGGGGAAGCAGATGCTCACTGTGTCATCATTAGTGCTCAAGTGCAAGTGCAAGGGACCAGGGGAAGATTAAAAGGTTTTATTTAAAAGTTGCTGTTTTCTCTTCTGTGCTGTTCTAACCTCATTTCAGCAGATAACCAGATCTCATCCGCTGTTAGCATCCTAAAGTAACATACTCTTCTAATAATAATTTGATGAGTATTTATTGAATTTTATAAGTTACAAATAATAAAACCCTACATAAAAGCCAAGAGAGTTTTTTTCCAGAATTCCTGTAAGAACAGTCAGAGATTATAAATCATGGCAGTAGGTTAAACGTAGAAAAGACAACGAGCAGAAAAGCCTGCCTCTGTGACAAGATCACTAAACTGCAGAATTGTGTCCTTCAGGAAATAGTAGACAAGTTATTGGAGACTGGAAGAAACAAAACTACAATGGGATTGACTCTCTGGCCTTAGTGGTTCTGTCTTTTTTTTTTTTCTCTCCCCTACTTCAGTGGTTTTCTTCTGTATTAAGCACAGCGTATTGTTCTTCCGTACGCTTCTGTAGCACAGAGCTTGCATTAGGAGAAGTTAGTGGGTCTTGCTGTCGGGCTTCAAGGATTTGCACTGGCCTAGTATGAAAGCCAAGGTTAAGGTATCTAGTCCTAGTAGAGCTATCCTAAAGTAACACAAAGTTAAAATAACTATAATAACCATAATAAAATTGCCTGGCTGCAGATACCTAATGGGTAACATGGAGATTGACAAGCTAAAAAAAGCCCCTAACAATTTAAAGTAAATGTTATCTTAAACTGTTCGTTAACATAGAAGGAAATGGAAAACCTCAAACTTCTTAAGATCCTGGAAAAAAGGCTGGTGTCTCCACAGAAGGTGCAGCCTGTCCAGCGTATTGCGTAGAAGCGTATCGCGTAGAAGCCAGGCTTACCCTCCCGCTGTGGTGGTGACTGACAGCTTCTGAGCGAGGCGAGGAGTTACAGTCCTTACGCCACATGAAGTGCAGAGGAGAGTCAGGTCATCTTTCAGGTGGCACCGCAGAAGAGATGAACTCCCCAGAATTTAAAGGCTAAACTGCTGATCCCTGGTGTCAGGAATTGGACACTGAGAAGCGACTTAATTAGGTTCCTAAATTTCATCATGTTTGGAAAACTGGCCTTTGTATCTTGTTACCTTTGCTTTTTTGGGAATGTGCAGACACCAACACTGTGCCATCAGTGCCAGTATCAGGCTCCCTGAGCTGCTGCGCTCTACAAGGATCATGTGCAGGTAGTTATTCCCGAGGATATCTGAACCCTTTGGAAATAAGACTGCTTGCTGGAATACTGCTTCCTCCCTATCGCTGCCTTCCAGCGTTTTTATCATCTAAATATGATTTATATAGCTTGTCCCATATACACACGCGTATGGCGAGGTATCCAAAATCTGCAGTTGGCTGTGTGAGTATCTACATTGTTTGGGGAGTGCAGACGCCACGATAAACCGCACCGCCTCTGTGTTACACCCACATGTAGGGCATGATCCCTGTGGGTCTCTGCAGGTGACTTTGTGTATCTTGTTATCTGCTCCATTATTTTATGTCCTCTGCTAACCTCAGTAGCAATTATTTTAATTTTCTTTCACGGTGTTATTAAGGATACTGAATTACAGTTGGCCAAGCACAGGTCTTTGCAGAACTCATTAGAAATATCCCTCGTGAATAGTGATTCTGCAATTATGATTCTTATTCTTATCAGTTAATTACTTGTTAATCTTGTTAATATGTGCCACATTTCTTATTATGTTATTTTTAACAAAGCATTGTACAGTACTCAGTAAAATGTTTTATGGAAGTCTAAATATAGTATGTCGGCATAGTTACTGTTACCAACCAAATTTGTAGTCTGACATTTAGTTTGTTTGAAAATACCTGTTTTCAGTAAAACAGAAAGATGGGCATAAAGCATGCCACCACCTCCTGCCTGCCACGCTTTCCATGATCCGGCCTATGTTAAGGCTGCAGCTGCTGCACTAAAAATGCAGAGGGTGTCTATTTGTCCTTTTAAAATATTGTCAGTTATTTTTATTCCCCCCCTTCTCCTGCAACTTCTCTGGTGCTCCAGGATTTCTTCATCTAGGGGGTTTTTTCACATCTTTTCAGTGCAAGTTACCTGGTCATACAGATGTAAATCTATGAAATACAAGCTGTTTAAAATTCTGTTAAATAATTTCATTGCTACTGCAAAATTATTAGCCCAGTACTTCAAAAAGAGAGCACGTTTTCACTGAATGCAGTGTCCTCTCTAGACTGACAGGTGCAATATGTCTTTTTCATTATAGATTTGTTCTGCGGTACGTCTTTTCCATTATTTTAGACTATACCTAGCTCCTCATGTCTACCTGTAGACCAGTTGTCTTTATTTCACAGTGACTAATTTACAGGCTTTGACTTTAGGTTCACAATTCCCATTTGCTACACGTCCTTTAACACTTACTGCTTCTTGATTAGAGTGGATTTTTAATGGAGAAAAATCCTTCTTATGATTGTCAAACTGCTGTATTTATGGACTTCTGGAGTTTTTTTGTGGTTTGGGGTTTTGTGCAGAACAGTGTAAAAGTGTGCAAAGTATTATGAATTCCTGTAACAGGAGGAATGTTGTCTTTTGCATCTTGTTCTGTGTCTTCCCTATAACAGTATTTTTATCATTCATGGTAATATTGCATTAGTGCGTTTTAATGAAAACACAGAAGGGAAGGAATGAGGCTTTTGTATATCTCCATCTGCGGGAAGCACTCTGCTAGCTCAGGGGAGGTCTTAACATTAGAGGTGAACTTGTGACTTCGTGTGTCTTGCTGCAGCAGCGAGTGATCTAAATTACACCTGAATTATGCAAGGGGAAGTACTTGTTAGAGTAGAAAGAGGACGACATTGCAGCTGGGAGGTCAGCTCTTGCGTTTAGCACCCAGGAGCCCACTAGCAGTAGCTCAGGTTCTGGAGGGGCTGTGTAATTTGCCTCCGTTTGTAATAACTAATGTACAGATACGTTTACTGCTGTTGTCATCCCATAAACGTAATGGCTTGCAACTAATTAATTTGTTTTCCCAGGTTTCCCAAAAAAACACGTTTTTGTGATGCTTCATTGTCACTTGTGGCAAAGGTGAAACAAACAGAAAAGAATGGGGAGAAGTTGAAAACGAGTTTTTATGGATAGGCAGGGACTTCATATTACGTTTACTGGGCTTTTGATCCTCCACTTACTTCCAGTCTTCCCCACTTACTGTAATTATTAGGAAAAGAAACCTGTATAATTACAGTTTCAAGCTGATTAACTCTCTGTATAAGTGTGGCAAAGCTATTTGCATCGATATATACCTATGTATTACTGCAAATAATTTTAATTACATGTTTAAAAATGAATACCAGTATAGGCTCCTAAGCTTACGTAGGAAAACAGAAACGCAGGATTAAATAGCTCTTTTGAAGAAGCAGTTCTCAGAAAACCACAGTTGCTGTTCAAAGCCAAATCATGTTGTAGGGGAGAGAAGAGGAGAAAAGCAATGCTCACAGAGGTTGAGAGCTCTGAAGAGCTAGCTAAGAAATGCTGCAGTCTGTATTTATGTGTACGTGTAAATACGTATATGAAATAACCACATATGTGACCTTTCCAGCTTCAGGATCTGCAGGGAAAGGAAGCCGCCCAGTGGACATAGGACCAGATTACAAACCACCGCTTGGTGGTAAGTGTCATTATAAAGCTTTTCAACTTAAAACAACCCTGATTACATCTGTTCCGGGAACTTTACTTTCTTTATGCTGATAGTTGTTCCCCCTTCAAGGAATTGTATTATACTTCTGTCGTAGTGTTCTTGCCTACTATAGTGTGGGCTATATGTAAAAAGTATCTTCCCATGCATTTACATTCCAGTCTTGATAAGCAGATCTTGTTCCCAGTTTACTTTTAAATGACTGGTGTAGTGCACAAATGTAAAATTAATTCAGTAAGAACATACCGTGAAGGAAAAAAACAATCTTAACTCCTTCTTCTTATTAGCACTGTGCATTGAGGAAGGCTTCCCCTAAGGTAACACTTATTAGTGTCACATAAAATGTGTTTTCTTTCAGAGGACAGTGACCACTGTAGAATACTGATGCCGATCCATGTGATTATTGGGTCCAGGGGAATGCCTGTAGTGCTATACTTTTGGCAAGGTCCCAGGTTAACTCTCCTTAGACTCTTAATCTACTGCATTTTTTTATGATAACTATTTGAGTAGGGTGAACACATATTTTTATAGGCTGTTAGTTGGAAATGGATCTGTAAAGCACCTTATAGATTTAACAACTGTACAAAAACACAATTGGCAAATGGCAAAGGGAAAAAAGCAAGCACTTCACCTGAAATCCTAGCAGACAAACCATCTTTCTTGTTGTGCTAATCTGTATGATTCTAGCAGCCTTTGACGGGCACTGCTTGCTTTGGATGGGGATCTTTTCCAAGCAGACTGTGTAATACATAACCCCTTTCTCCCAACTCAAACTCTTCCAGGCAGTAACAGTCCCCACGGAAGTCCTACTTCTCCCTTGGACAGCAACATGCTCCTTGTAATCATAGTATCTGTTGGAGTGATCACCATTGTGATAGTGGTGATAGTCGCCGTCTTCTGCACTCGTCGTACAACTTCTCACCAAAAAAAGTAAGATGGCCGGGTGGCACTTTGCCTTGTTCTACCTTCCTCACTTAATTCTATTATTTAATCTTTTCTTTATGGTGCTTTAGAGTTTATCACTTTTAAGTCTTACGGGCTGTAGAAATTCTGCTCCGACAACAGATCAGTAACGCAGTTTAAATTTTTGTGTTCAGAAGATAACATGCGTCAATACAGCTAAGTTATTGTGCATGTGATGATGATGATGATGATGTTCTGCTTTTCCTAATCAGTGTTTCAGAGTTTACAAACCATCAAGAGTTCACAGGCACGCTGGGGCAATGCTTTCATGTATACCTACACTTGCCCCTCTCTGAGGAGACATTATTGTTTAAAATACTGGGATTATCTGGCATTGCTTTTTTAAAATTTTAAAATCAGCTCTGTGTGTTTGCGGTACCCGCAGCATTTTCTGATGTGAATGTCTTGCTGGAAGTTTACATGGTCGTCTGAGAGCTAACGTCTCTCGCTTTGCACCAGGGTCAGAGGCAGAGTTAATTTGAGCAGAGCAGCATGCAGGCCTGGCTGTTCTGTTTCCAAACTCGAGCTGATACATCTGTTTTGAGCTGTGTGAGCTCAACAGCTCAAGCAGATTCTCATTTCTGTTCTTAGCATGTACTTCACGGTGTGGAGTAGGTTTACAAGCTGTGCATGGTAATACCCAATTTTTAGATAGGTTACTGGAGTGGAATCTGAACCTGGTAGAGGACTGCTTAGAAAAGTGCTCCAAAGCCGTAAATATAGCTATGCATCTCAATTCTTCCCTCATTTAGAGGATCTGGATTAAGACTACAGCAGCGATGCTTCTGTTCATAGGCTCCTGAAGGTTGTTTCCTCAAGTTCTTTGAATGAACTGAACAGAGCTGAAAGCTTTTTTTAAAGTTTGAAAAGACTCTGCTGTGTAAAAAGAAAGCGATTCAAAGCCAGGCCTAGAAGATAATCTCCACTTGCTTTGCTGAAGTTAAACCATCCTGCAAAACTGCAAGTTCCTCAGGAGAGAAGAGCAAGGGTGTATGAGTGATGGTCTAGCAGCTGGCAGATGTGCTTGGGATTCATGGGCCTCTGCCCAAGAGACATATTTTGTTTTCAAAGAGCAGAAATAACCCTGCGAAATCCTGCGTTTGTTTTCTCAGTTTCTAAATGCCACCTCTCTTACGTGCAGCAGCCCACCACCAGTGAATAACCTTCTGATCTGTTCTACTTGCTCAGCTGCAGTGCTCAAAGCAGGGTGCCAGCAGCATGTCTGGCTGCATCTCACCTACATGAGAGGCTCCGTTCACTGACATTTTCAAAATTTTATTTAGCCATATCTTAGCCATTTCTAGCAAGTGTGCTACCCAGAAGGGACACCTTCCTCCATCATTGCCAGGGTCCGAAGTGAGGAGTGCGTGTGGAACTCTACTTTTCCAAAATTCCGTCATGTCAGATGTCTGCCTCGCAAGCACTCTTCGTGGTTTGCTGCTGCTGCTAGTCAACAGCGACAAAAAAGCACATCAGTTAGATGTGTCTGACCTGAGGAGTGGTGAAATGAACGTTCTTGTCATTAGTCTGTAGAGTTAACCATCTTATTGGCATAAATGGCTATTTGCACACTCCTCCTACAGCTATTGTTTGAGGTTGGTTGTAAAGCCCCAGAGTATCAGCACAGCGTGATATATGTACACTTCATGTTTAGAATATTCTCTTAATAACCATAAGTGCTGGAAACTTAATTTTTGTTAATGAAAGCTTAGACTGTAGAGCACAGTTCTGCAGCATATGGTAGCATTTGAGACAAATTTCATGGCAGCAGTGTTGCAGAATATGCTTTGAGATGTCAGATGTGCTTATACGTAAAACTCAAAGCTTCCTGCCCAGTGGGTAGCCTTTGCCCAGCTGGAGACAAGATCTGAAGGAAATCTCAGTGAAAATTTGCTTTTTGAAACAAGTGAAAGGAAGCTAAGACCATTTCATTTGTTTTCCTTCCCAAGGAAACGAGCTGCCTGCAAATCAGTGAATGGGTCCCATAAGTACAAAGGAAACTCCAAAGATGTCAAGCCTCCCGACCTCTGGATCCATCATGAAAGACTGGAGCTAAAACCCATAGATAAATCTCCAGATCCCAATCCAATCATGACAGATACCCCAATCCCTCGCAACTCCCAAGACATTACCCCAGTTGATAATTCCGTGGACAGCAATATCCATCAAAGGCGGAATTCCTACAGAGGTGAGCTATCAACAAGTACTTTGACCATGATGTTTAAAATGAATTATTGTATCTGGTGCAGTCACTTTGTTGTCATATTATTCAGTTACGCATATCTTTTTTGTTCTTATTTTCCAAGTAGTGACTTGGTTTTGTGCCTAGATTATAAGACTCTCTGAAAAGGATGGATCACATGTTTTAGTGAGAAAATTGAGTGCCCAAGAGTTAAATCGTGAATTTCCCGTGGTAAATACTGGTTAGGAATCAGAAGATCATCTAACAAGTGTTTCATCAAACACACAATCAGGTTTTGGTGCTGTAACCAGCTCTTGAGGCATGGGTGAGTTTTCACTCGGTGAGTGGTTATCTTGTTAATTCAGCACATCTTACCTATGTGTGTGACTGTGCTGCCACTCACTGCCCACAGCTGCACTGCCAGAGCTTTGAGTTTGCATTATGGCTGGGAGAGTTTCTCCAGTGCCCAATAATCTTTACCCTAACTGTCCTCTTTTTCACCTTCCAGTGAAGGATGAAAGAGCTGTTTTTATCAATTATGAGTCACAGAACTATTTACAAACAGGACAGCCCAGAAATAAAGAGAGGAGGATTGAAATCAGCCAGGACAGTATCACAGAAGTCTCGCTGCAATGGTAAATAACCTGCAGTATTTTTCCTTCAGGGCATGAGTCAGAGGATAGCATGTCCACACTGGCAGGAAGAAGGGGGATGAGGCCCAAGATGATGATGCCATTTGATTCTCAACCACCTCAGCGTAAGTCAACAGCCCACCTACCAGCTGGCTTGAAACTGGGAGCACCCAAACAAGCCACATTAATACTGTATGCACGGGCGCACGCACACATGTATGGCCTTCCTGCTTGCTTCTACATAATTCTGTCATATCTGCAGTGGATAGAGGAGGCATCCCGAATCCCTTGTCATGGAGGCAGGGTTAGATCAAGTTAAAAGGAAAAACTGGACAGGTGTATTTGAGCAAGCAGGAGGCATGCTGCAAACGTGGGGAAGAGTTAGGAAAGTGTCCAGCAGGCTGTCTGCGCCAGGCTCCAGCAGTGGCAGCTTAGGGAGCCTTCTCCCTTCTTAGGCAGAGCCCAGGAGCCTGGCTGCTTTTCATAGTCTGTTCCCTTTGTACTCTGCCAGTATCCAGCTGTTACGTAGGAATTGTAGAGAGTTTGTTCTCCTCCTCAGACCAAATGGTTGTAGCCTTTTTAGCCTCCCCTTGCAAAGCAGCTACCCCATCACCTTTATCACTTTAGTTGCTGTTCTCAGAACCTTCTCTAACTTTACTACATCCTTCTGGAGATGCAGAGAGGCCAGAGCTGCACGCAGTACCACCAGGGTCTTACAGAGCAGGAAACAGTGTCCTCTGCCTTGTTCTCAGTACCTTCCGTGCTGAAAGGAGCACTGCAGTCTGTTGGCTACTGCGGCTGCCTTACACATTGAGCTAATGATATCAGAGATCAGTCAGCCGTATCCCCCCCAAAAAAGCTTTTTGCTGAATTGTCACTGCCAGCTCTGAGTTCAGCATCATGTAAGAATTGTTTGGGTTATTTTTCCCTCGGTATATTACTGTACATTGAAGCGATGCTAAAGTTTACCTGCTGTCTGTTTGCCTACTTGTTCCGTCTTGTGAGGCCCTTTGGAGTTCCTGGCCATCGGAATAGCATTTGACTACACCGAAAACCTTAATATGATGGACAAACTTGAAGACTTCTCTGATTGTCTCCATGTCTTGGTCACTGAGAAAGATAATTGATTAAAAACAGTCCCAGCACTGATACCAGGGGAATCTCCTGCTTACATGCTCCTCTGCCTTGAAAATTGATCATCAGGCCCCTCCCTTGGCTTGCAGTCCATGAAAGAGCTTTCCCTCAGCAGCAGCTTAATGTTTTAACTTTGGAGTGGAGCCATCAGAGCCTTTTTGAAAACTTAGCTGTATTATATACGCTGGTTCCTGTTACTGATGTATTTACTGTTGTGAAACGCTGAGATTAGTGAAGCAGGATTTACTTTTACAAGAGCGAGGATTACTCTTTTCTAGATGACCATGTTTACCCGTATCTGCAGAGGTTGTACTCTTACACTGAAACATTAAATGTAACTGCTGTCCCCGCTGCACAGACAGGTATTTGTGAAGCCGTTCTTGACCAGCTGCGGTTTACAGTCCACCTTCCTGCAGCAGACCAAAATCGGTATGGATTTATGCTAAAATGTGAATAGTGGCTCAGGAGCAGCTTCAGAAACAACTCAGCTGCTCGTCCAGCACGAGAGAATTAGATAGAGAGCTGGGGCAACAGATCACCACATGTCTCAGTGCAAGACATCCCCGCTTGTGAGCTAGTCCCCTGATTTACCAAGCAGAAGAAATGGCTCTGAAGGAGTAACACTGCTCGTCTTTTGGAAGGGGTACCAAAATATGTATAGCAGTTTTGCTCCACAGTGTGTCTGTTATACTGACTTATTAGAACGTGGATGGACCACTGAGAAGGGCTGAGTTTCTGTGAATCTGGCAGAGCAGACTCTTAAATGAGGAGGATGTCTGGTTTGCTACTTCTTACCTATGTATTTCCCTATCAGTTAATGATGATTTTGAGCAAAAGTGCTGAACTGAGATTTTGAGGCAGTAGAAATGCATTTTTATTATTATGAAATATTTTAAGAATTAAACAACATATCTAGTTTTCAAATGATGACTCTGAGATAGAAAGGGTCTTGGCTAAACCTCTAAACAACGAGACTGAAACTCTGACTTGAGAACATGAGTAAAAAGTGCAACAGTGAACAGGCGGTGGCAGACCTGTGAGGCAGAATTCCACAATGCTCATCTGGGCTGGGCTTTGGACTTTCCTGAGCACGATGTTCATGTTCAGCCCTGTAGCCCAATAATTGCTACCACATCTTCTGTTTTATGCAGTGATTTCAGGCCAGTCCACCGTGTTTCAACTTTCTAACTTTTTGCTTTCTTTACCTGAAGTGAGTGCTTGGGTTTCTTGGTCCCCACATGCTTTTTCCAGTGTCCTGATGACCCAGTTAGCTCAGTTTGTGAATTTTTGACTGCTTGCTTGTTTTACAACCTTTTTACAAGTAGTATCTTTTTTTCTTGGTTTTAAAATAAATAGTCTGATGCTCTTGTTTTTTCCCAGTTTCACCTGTATGAGGGATGAATGGAGGCTACAGTTTTACACTAATCAACTTTACTCCAATAAGTTTTTTTAGAAGTTTGTTTGCTGTCAAATACTGGTGTCTAACAATGCAGCTCTCGGATTCTTATGATTCCCTGTCCCGTGCCAGCTGCTCGAACATGATGAATTTGGACTTGTGTGACCCCGTAACAAATTCAGACTGCAATAAGTCTTCCCCAGCGCTTCCCTGTGTGTTTTTTCTCCCAAGTTGTGTACAGCATGGGATACACAAGATAAACTCATGTAGGAGCCCCTGCTGAAGTGTGCTCCATGGCAACAGTGTAGCAAAGTACCCCTCCTACCGTGTTAGTGAGAAGGACACTCAGCAGTTTACAGGATCAGTCCCACGTGGGATGAAAAGATGCACAGCTGGCATGGGTGGTGCCGTGGTGATAGGTATTTTAGGGAGGCTGTATTTCGGCGAAGCTACTGAAGGTGAAGGGTTCTGGAGCAGAGGCTCGCGCCGAGGGACCCTTTCTCCGGTGGCAAAACCGCAGCGGCGAGGCGGCAAAAAGCGCCGAGAGAGGGAGGAGACCCCAGCCCCCCCCCTCAGCGGGAAAGCGGGAAGTGCCAACGAGCAGCAGCTCTGACTCAGCGGGGGCGGAGTCGAGTGTGACAGCG